ATTAAACATAAAGTTGAACGGTGCTCCTTCAATTTCCTTGACCGTCTCATGGTAACGGCACGGATTTTCATAGTCTAAGCAAACTGTATGTATTAAGTGGTCATTTATTTCCTGTGCACTACTAACGTATAAATACTATGATACTGGTGAACTGTGAACACTAATACGGAATTGTAATAGGGTTCTCTACAAAGAGCAGAAATGTTATATGGTGACCATGAGTTGAATAATTAACACGGACAATCCAGGTGTTCTGAGGTGTTGGCAACATTAACAAAGTGGTGAATCCCATCACGCATGCTCGTAAGTAAAACAACAAAGGATATCTGATAGTGTCTTCAATAATGACAAATATATTTCATAAATTTGTCTAATATTTTAGTATCTTTCAGAAGTGCGCAAGCATACTAGCCAAATTACTTTCATGTTTTGACCACATATAAATTGAGGAAGTTGACATAACTCACTCATTTCATCTTCGCAGTTCACGACAAAAAATAGTTTATGTTTATATTCACATAGAAAATATTACTTAATCATTCCACTAAGATTGCTGTAAAAAGTTTAAAGAGAGTTTTACGCGTGACCAGTTACCTCGCGGGTGAAAATATGGCGGCAACCTACAGTTGATGACACAAATCCTATTGAAATGTCTTACGTGTTAGCTTCACATTCAAGACGTTTGGTTTGGATTGTATTAGGTAAATAACCCCTTAAAATTTCTGGTTTTGTGTTTTTTGTTGTAACGGGCTTTAGGATTTGTCAGTTTTATCAGATGATTTGTATTCTCTCTTTTCAAGTCTACAAAAGTGTCATTTTTAGTGAAAATAACATTGTAAATAGCTATAAGATATTTCTCTATGTTTCAGTCGCAAAAATGTGATAAAAATACAACACTGAAAATTTTATCTGTGTAAACGAAAACACAAGGTTGCATAGTTACAGTAGCTACATACTGTAAAGGCCACAGCTATACGGAGGAAATAACGTTATGTCTTAGAGTATACAGCTTTATAACATTTACAAACTACAAAGTTTGTACACATACAGTTATTAATATCCCAGGCATCGCTCTGGGTTGATGCTTACATTTTAAAGATATAATCAGAAAAAGAGAGAAAAAAACCAGTAAGGATTTTCTGTTGCTACCTTCTACCATACCTCGCATATTATCTATATGATAACCGTGAATACTTACAAAAATATTATGGAAACAAGTATTACACCAATACGGGGGAAACCAGAACCTGGGAAAATCATAGTCTAGGAAGTGACGATAGTACATTGGAGGTGAAACGTTAAAATATAGTTTAGAACATTACATAAATGTCATTGATATTGTATTATTATCAAAATATTATCAATATTAACAAAATCCAAACCTGTACCCATATACATAATCAGAATGGGAACTTAATATACTTACAATTGGTTTAACCAGTGACGCTGATGCCTCCATGTGGCAACCTATCGGAGGAAGGCACAACAACAAAGAGACCATGCCCGAAGCCGACATATAACGTCGTTAAGGGGAAAATATGGAACGACAAGAAGATTCGAACCTACATCTTCATTTTGCACTTCCAGGGATAAACCTTGTCCTAGTGTGTCCGCTACCAGATTGCTGGGCGTGCAATATTTTAAACAGAACAGAACGATTTTTTTGCCACTCATTCAATTTATAACATATTTAAAATCTATGTTTTTAAAGAAAACTTCCGATGATTTATTATTTTCCGAGTGCGCACAATATGATTAAATTTGAAAAAGTAAGATGCATTTTTCAATTTCTTTTTGTACTTCTTAACCACAGTGATTGAGACTATATACGTATTACTAACTGGGTACTTGTAGAGTGTTCCCCGTATGTAAGCTACACGCCCCCTAAGTATCTCCATACTTCACACACCATACTTATCACAACATTTACATCTTTCCTGTTCATGTCTAAGGTCGTCAGGTTGACAACGATGAATGAACTTCCCGGGGTTAACATGGAGTCCTGTAAGTATCTGTGAATCTTTTTCATATATAAATTTCTTCTGCAATATTTAGTTTATTTCACAATGTTTCTTAACCTTACATATACATTTTTATGTAAATTCATGTGATTTGAATTGATCGAGAGGAATTTTCTTATTACAGAACACATTATTGGTTTAGAATTCTGGCATTAGTTTGCGGTAACATGCATGTTTAAAGTGTTTAAAACACTTGACCAGCAACAAGATTCAGAACATCAACATCATTCCGTGCTATATTGATAACTGTGATTTATTAAAGCTTTGTTTAAATAATATATATTTAATATTAAGTAAACATTCGTGATACGGAATCTGTTGGCAGAAAAGTCAGCCAAACGAACTTAACCATTATTCTACTTTATACCGTATTCATCTTACCACCAAACTCAACGAACCTTCTACCAAACAGGAATTCGTTCATTTTCAAAATTTCATTCTCATGATATTTCTGGTACTAAAATAAGATTTCTCCGGGGTTAAAATTACGTGTCATTCCATTGTGAAGTGAAGTGGTGGATCTCAACCACAGGCGAGGCTTACCGAATCATTGCGACTTTTTCGGACGGTTGGTATTCCCCAATCTCACCAACAAAGAAGTAAATATTTTTGTCTCTTTCCCTTCTTGTCCTATTAGTATGTGTTTTGTTATCACAGTATACTTCTCATAGTTGACGTGAAGCCGTTATGAAAAATGGGAATCCCCTGTTTCTTTGTCCTTAGGCGACATTTCATACAGGTGAAGGCGTGGATACACCTGTCTTAGGTAAGATAAACTCCTTTCAGTTATCCTAGGCATCTCCAGACGAAATTCCACTACCGATTGCCCAAGGCATTAATTGGCATTGACCTTTGACCCAACCAGTTTTTACGTGATGGCAGGTAATATGTAACGTCTCTAATTATATATTGCTATGATAATTCCTGTCTACATAACTCATCTGAAACAACTTCACATATTTTATGTACATCATTCATTTTGAAGTACAAAGTGTACGTTTTTAGTTAAATACGCATAGTTTACGTAATGATGGATCCACTGACTTATTTATAGATATTAAGAGTTCATATTTGTTAACATTTCCACTGATTTCGTTACACTACTGCGATGGTTAGGTTGTGTGTTACTACGTATGTGGAAGTCTTCTATCAACAGGTAAATCATTTTAGTACAGAGGACGTACATGAATCAACGACTTATATTCGCCCCTAAACATTGAATTTTAAAATTTATAAGAGGTTCCATCCATCAAAAACATTGCCAGCTACCACCAAAATAGTTGTGAAGTGTTGTACAAACCTTTTTGTCAATTTCTGCTAAACATTTGAGGTGATTGCCCAAGAATGATTCGTGGGATTCACTGAGTGGGTTAAATCCATTCGCTCCATCATTCCTTAAAGACTTTGCAGCTTGAAATCTGAAATGTAAACAAAACACAGGTCAGCGTTCCCAATGACATGTATGTTATTGTACCTGAAGGCGGCCGATAACTTGATGCTTGTCAACAGACAATATTACATTTCCTGTACACAAAAAGAACTAGGTTTGCTTGATGACGAAGTAAACCCCATGTGTACATACGTGATCTTTCTAAAGGAAGAAATACTGGCTAATGATACTTCGGTATTGCTGTCATTTAGACTACCTATTGATGATAAGGATAGGGACCTCACACGTTTACATTGGACTCCTAAACTTCACAAGAACCCATTTAAATAATGCTTTTTTGCTGAATCGTCTAGCTGTTCTGTAACCTATATCGAAGTATTTATTTATTATCGAGATTCTGGTTGACAATATCCTCGTCGAGCTCGGTGGTAAGACCTTCCAACAAACTTTTGGCATACCTATGGTATTTGATATTTCCTTTCATTTGCTGACTAGTTTTTATACAAGACTGAATTTATTGAAAAACTTATCCAAACATGACACAAAGACCTTGAAAAGTCGTTTTATTTCACTTTCAGATATACTGATGTCGCCTTGTCTTGAAGTAACAATAGATTTATCGACCACGTCCATTATATATACATGTACCTACTAGCATAAGAAATCAAGAACACGACAGACTTTTCTACACCACCCGTTTATCTCGAACTTTTCCTTCAAAGAAACCAGCATGGCCAGCTTTCCACCAAGCTTAATAAAGCGTGACGATTTCATCTTCCCTTTTGTAAATTTGATGAATAGCAATACCCCTTCGTCCCTAAACAAATGGTGTTTAGATGTTGCAGTTCATTCGATATTCAAGGTTCTGCTACCATTATCACGATTTCGTGCAAGAAGTCATCAACTGAGGGACAAACTCATAACACATGGTTTCATAAGATCCAGGCTGATGCTCGTTAGTTTGCCTGTGAGTTCCGTTGCTGTATTCCTTGTTCTCATTTGAGAACGTGACATTAATTTCTTGGATTGACCATCATTTACGTGACGGGTGCTTTCGATGAAGCAGAAGACAATTTCTCTTTCGTAACACCAGGTCTCATTCTCCTTGTACTTTTTCAGGTGTCTTTCGTGTGTTCATAGTTTGATTATTATTATATGACCATCATTAATATCATACTAGTTTGCATTACTAATCGTGTTATAAATTAAAGATTATCAGAATATACGGCTTTAATAGTTTATATAATAGAATGCAGAAATGTTAAAACTTATCCGCCGAAATGACATACAACGAAAGACTAACATTTCCCTTTAATGACAGACACCATGAAGCGGTTATACCTCCGTTTTTGCTAGGTCTAATTAATTATCCATATCTCATACAGAGCACTCTCGGTTATACATGTATATAAAATAGTCAAAAGAATCGAGTTCTAGTTGTAACACACCTTATCTGTGGATGAATAAGCCTTCGGTTTTGTAAATGTTTATTTCTTGCACATTTTGGGGTCTTTCTGATCCCGACATTTACTTCTTTTTTCGTTCCTTGCATGTTGGAGTACTATTTTCTTCTCTTTGCAGCAAACAAAATGAAAGAGTATCGTCGGTCGATTGGACGATGGAGGTTGTTAGCATTCGTTCTCCTGTTGTGTGTTGTTGCCCTCTTGGTAGGAATTATCATCATATCCTTCGTTAAGAACAGACAACTAGAAGATCAAAAGATACCATACTGTTCTGGGAAGGAGGACATCAATCTGGCGGAGCCGACTGTTCCATCGGTATTTCACGACCTTACTGCAGTTGAGGTCGATGGACTCATGAAATACTTGCATTCCCAGAGAAGTCTGAATTTAGTGAAACCTGCAGATGCTAAAGTAAACAACAGCTATGTCTACCTGGCAGAGATTTATGTGCCGCCAAAGATCAAAGTATTGGACTATCTGGATAACAATGATGTAAAACCTGATAGGGAAGCAATTGTCACAATATTCAGGGGAGATAAGCGACCTCCGATAGTAGAAGAGTATTTAGTCGGTCCCCTTCCTAACCCTAGTAATTTGAAGGAAGTTCCTTACCATCGACAGAAAATCCCTTTCAATCTTCGGCCATTTACTGGACCAGAATGGGGCTTTCAAATGTATGCTGTTAATGCAGCCATTCACAGCACTTTATATGACCTTGTTTTCGAAAGTTTTGGCGGAAAGTTTATACATTGTGATGATAAATGTTTGAGATTGGTTGTGCCTGCCCCGTATTCTCCTGCAGTATCCGGTGTACCTCACGGACGAAAGACATGGTTCACTATGGTACGCTTGGTAGATGTTTTCTTTTTACATCCGCTTGATTTTGCTGTTCTTATTAATTTTAATTACGACACTCAAAACATTGAGTTCGAAAAAGTTTGGTACAATGGACAATCATTTAATAGTCTTGAGGAATTAGCAGCTGGCTATTCTGACGGAACTGTTAGAAAAACAAAAGTACCTTTTCCTTCGAAAAATGACAGAACGTTTTCCAAAATGACAAGACGTGGTCCGGCCTTTCAAAACGAATTCAAAAGAGATCCGCTACAGTTTGAACCTGATGGCAAGAGGTACACCATACATCACAACCATGTGGAGTATATGGGCTGGAAGTTCTACTATAGAATGTCGCCTGTATCTGGACCACAGATATACGACGTCCGATTCAGGGACGAAAGGATTGCTTACGAAATTAGTTTGCAGGAAATAGTAGTGTTCTATGCTGGATCAAAACCGAGTCAGATGTTGGCAGAATATTTTGACAGTTGCACCCTGATAGGGATCCAAGATAAAGGACTTGTACCAGGAATCGATTGTCCAGCTCATGCCACATTTATGGATACCACATTCGTTGCAGAATCCTCCAAAGAACCAATAAGATTTAAGAACGCGTTCTGTTTGTTTGAGCATAACAGCGGATACCCATTGAGACGACACCATTCTCATTCCAAGTTTTCAGGTAGCTTTTACGAAGGAATGCCAAATGTTGTGCTTACACTGAGGTCGGTGTTTACTGTGGGAAATTATGACTATATATTTGATTTCATCTTCTTCCAGAATGGTGTTGTCCAAGTGCGAGCCATGTCCACAGGGTATATATTAGCTACCTTTAATACTAGAGAAGAGGCGCCCTTTGGAGCTCAGGTACATGATGACCTTTTCGGAAATCTGCATACTCATCTTTTCAATTTCAAGGTAGACATCGACATTAAAGGGAAAACAAACCGATTCGCAACATGGGACATTACTCCTACATCACGACCCAACGATTACTCCGCGATACCAAACGCCCACTATCACATGATAAATTACACACGTGAAGTTAAAGAGACGGAACAGACGGGTGCGTATAAATTTGACTTCGAAACTCCAAAGTATCTCCTGTTTTACAACGAACAGGAAAAGAATGCTTATGGAAATCCAAAGGCATACCGTATTTTAAACAAAGGAATGGTGAAGCAGCTTTTCGCTGAGGGTGAAGGAAATGAGCCGGCGGCCAGCTGGGCGAGGTACCAGTTGGCTGTGACACAGTACAAGGAGTCAGAGCGGAGGAGTAGCTCTGCGTATTCTTACATGGACTCATCAGATCCCGTGGTTCAGTTCCAACATTTTATTGACGACGACGAATCCATCAAAGACGAGGTGAGTTAGCACATCAATATAATCGGAAATTATAAAACATACCATCCATTGATTATTTTTCAATATAGGATTTTGATAAAAATATTCCATTTTCCTCTGATATCTTATGACAACCATTACATTAATTATTTTACATTAATACTTTAACTTACAAAGTTCATGTTTATATCGAGGTTCTACAACGAGTGGCAGTTGATTATCATCGTTATCTAACTCGAGTTAGTTAATTTTCAAATTTAGAAAAGACACGAGGCTTTGAAAATTAACTAACGAGAGTTTGATACCGATGATAATCAACTGCCACGAGGTGTAGAACTTCTTTCTACCATAACCTTTTAACGTAAAAAAAATATATATTGTGTACAACATTGACACTTTTGCGAAGAATACATCGTAGGTTGTCTGATTGGCTCATTAACATGCAAAAAGAGACAAAATCGCTATTTTTGAATATCTATTCAGTAATCTTGTTTGGAAACACCCTGTAACATTAGTTCATTGAAACACGTTACAAAATTACACAAACTGTTAATCTTTAAAAAAAATAATTTGGAACCAGATTTTATTGCGGATAAGAGTAGAGCTTCTTCGCGGGAAAATGTGAATGCAGACACGATTAAGATGGCGTGTAATTTTGGGGCTGAGTTTCTAATGCTCTTTGCGTGTTTCTAGGGGGTCTCGATATTGACATCCTTGGGGCTCAGCTGTACATTTAAGTTTAAGATCATTTGAAACTGAGATATTGTCGGAAATGTGGCGGGGTTCAGCGGTAGGCCTAGTTGAGACAGTGACGACAGGGTCAGGGGAAATGTCAATCCTGTATCTTGATTCCGAAACGACATTGCCCGTCTCCAACCTAATATCAAAAGTTGGGAAACCAAAATTACTACATTTACCATTTACTATCCCCTTTCCCCTCCACACAGTTTTACCGCATCACCGATCTTGACCGCTGGCAAGAGTGACAGATCGTCACTGTCAGCCATGTTGATGATGGACAGCAGACGATGAAAACAATCGCACGTGGCGAAAGTAGTTCGGGGTCACAGATCATGGTTGGGTCAAATGTCAATGCCTCGTCCAATAGATTTGGCTGTCACCAATAATACACGTGTGTATTATGCGTATGAATAAACAATGGATATGGTGTTTAATGAATAGTCTGGGCGTGAGATAACATACCCAGGTTATGGTAGAAAGGGTAGTATTCTATAGATTTTACAGCGTTAAACGATATATGTACAAATCATTCCCGGAATTCTGAATTCAAAAAGAATATATATAAATTTTGAAATATAATTTGATAATTACATTCATAATCAAACATGAAAAAGGCAGTAAGTTAGAGCTGTTTAAATTCCCCTCCATCCACCCCGCCTCCTACCTCAGTGTATGTTTCAAAGAATAAAACTACATTATACTTGATATTATTTAAGTAAGAACACCTCCGCATCTAGATTCTGACTGGTTTTCAATCTTTACTTCCAATATTTCAAAATATATGACAAGTCCGAGAAGTACAAAACATCTGTGTGAAACTTTGTTTTCGTAGCCGAATTGACTACAGTACGTTGTTACCATCTGGTGTATTTTTTTCTATAATCTATTTCCCATCTCGTCACACTATCGACATAGTGTACACATGATTATAGTTCTTGTGTATCTTTTGTACAACGTTGGAGATTGCAGGTTGTATATGGTGGACTTTTGGTTCTCTTGAAATTTGCCGCAATCTGCTTGTCATGTTTCAATTAATTTGAAAAATGGCTTGCCCAATTCAGAACAAACACATATACTTGGTGTTCTTCCAGTATGATCAGATAAATGAAAATTCAATGGATTATGGGGTTAGTGCACCTCCCAATCGAGATGTAACATTTTCCCGATCAGTTTTTAATTTCTCAGTCACCATCTGGGTTTCAAAATTTAGCCACTAGGATGAAACAGCCATATGATGCAGTTTATTCATTGTTATATCTAACTTTAAATTTGTATCAAAATGTGCTCTCTATTTGTAGAATTTATTGTGTAGACCCTTTCGTCATTTGAAAGAAAAAAATTCACGGTTACTATATTAACAGGATTTGGTGGCTTGGGTGACGATGGGCTTACACCATATCCCACACACAGAAGATCTTCCTGTCACCCCGTCGCCAGGAATGGACCTTAGTTTCTACCTCCTACCTTACAACTACTTTACAGAGGATCCAGCCATGGCATCAAAGAGTTCTGTCCGAATAGAACTCAAGGACAGAAGTAAACCGAAAGACGGAGTCCGGGTCATTCGGTACGGACCTGAAGAGGAAAAGCAATGTGTCGCTCACAAGAATAACTATTATGACATGTATATGAAATATCCGGAAGCCATTCTCGAAACTGGTAGCAGCTAAATGGGGGATGTATATAAGTCATCTCGTTTACTTATACACAAAAGTATGCTAGCTGAAAGAACTTTATGTTGTTGTAAACCAATTTACGCCAATGAACATGCAAATAGATTTTTTTGTATGAAATATAGACGTAATACAGGTAACGAAAGTTGAAATTAAGACATAGTAAATACAAAGCATTCTATATTTTAACAAAGTGGAACAAGTAAAACCGGTGAAGGAAGTACATTTTTATTTCCATGCAGTACGATTAATTAATCTCGTCAAACATATGCAGTTAATGTAGATCAAACTATTAATAGCAATTTTTGCTAAATCTAGGGATTTGGTTGGTTAAAGGTGACTAAGTGAAAACGCATTCGGACCTTCTCAGCGGATATTAAGTAATTTCTCGTACACAGGACAGGGGAATTACATCTGCTACCCAATGATTATAAGACTCTTTTCTATATGGGTATGTAGGATAGGGATATTCCACCCGAGGGGTCACAAAATGTGGTAAAAACCCTCGGCTTTTTACCACATTTTGTGATCCCGAGGGTGGAATATCCCTATCCTACATACCCATATAGAAAAGAGTTTTTTTCTCTCATTTCTAATCTCATATTATTAAATATTTGCACTCACCTCGCGGTAGCCATCACTGGACGCCGCCATTTTGCAGATTTCTATTTTTTTCCTTGGGCCATATACATAAAAAAAAATGCTGAAATGGATTCTCCATCTCCGAATTTTGCAAACTAAGTTTGCGGTCGAAAACATAATATGGACTTTGAATGTAAACATCCAACGTCAGTGTTTAACTGTTTTTTCTTCAAGCGGGCTGGGTCAAATACCCTGTCAAATATATCACCCAGAGACATGCGTACGCGTTCAAATATAGTGCCTTAAAACACGCAATAAAACAACACTTTTCTTTTTAATATTTACTATTGCTCAATGTATAATATATCATAAACACTTTTTACATCTTTGAACATGTTGGTCAAGTTATTAATACTACTTCACTGTCAATAGTAATCTTACAAATCTTACACATTTATGAATGGAATTCTTGGTTTGCTTGTGAGATGACGTCACTTACGTCACACATTTCGCGCCACACCGACAGGAGGAAAGTTAGTCATTGTCACTTTCAATCACACGTGGACGACGGCGGAAAGGCCGAGTCCCAGGGTTGGTGATGTTGATATTTTTGACAGTTTTGTTAATACGAGCCTGCAAACAATGACTCCAATCGACTATGCGTGTTTGTGGATGAAGCGGATGACGAGAACATAGTCGATGAATGCGCGGGAAAAAACTATGAATTACTCCGCGCGCGAGGCTTTATTACACAGGCGCCTGTGTAATAAACGTCTATCATGACCATGTTTATTGCCCTGGACAGGCCTATATGACACAGGTGGAAATGAGAGAAACGTCTATCATGACCATGTTTATTGCCCTGGATAGGCCTAACTGACACAGGTGGAAATGAAAGAAAAAATTTTCTGTTTCGTCCTATCTGCATGATACTATAACGCGACTTTTGGTGCTAAGTGACGTCATAATGAGGATAACGTCATATTCAATGGAGTATAATTTGAGGATTTCGAAATGAAGATAGCTGATAAAAATTGTATGCATTATAACACAGAATGAATAACACCGATTACATTGCTTGGGCTGACATTCTGTAACACTTCGTTTTTTTCTTCGCGATAAATGGGATTTCATTACACAGTGTCAGCCCTCGACTAAGTAAAATTAGTATTTCACACCAAAAAATTAATAAATCTGAAGTAAAAGTCAGCTTCCTTTATGGTAAGATAACATTTTGGTGAACGGTTTCAAGACATCTGAAGCAGGATATAGAAATTGCATTAAAAATAAAAAGAAGTAAATTGATTAAGCATTAAGATAGAATATTGATCTATTCCAGAATTTGTCCTTGTTTTGTGACACTGGTATAATTGCCTTCTGTTTTAGTTTCGGTCCACGATACCCCTCTAGACCAATAACCTGTTGCTTTGGCTTTGCTTTATAATCGCAATCCCACAGAGAAAGGTCAATGACCTAGTAGTTTGAACTGACCATTCCAACCTTGTTTTATAGCAGCACTCCCAACGACCCGTAAGTCAGTCATCCCACTGTAATAGATAGTAGGTTAACGTGCCTTCCCACCTCTGTATTATTTACAGTATACTTGGTGTTGGAGCTGTTCAGCGGTCAGTAACACGGATGGTGGTGTTAAGTGACATTCTTTCTATAAAATGAAAAAGAAAGGATTTAATCATGAAGAATGAACTAGATTTTAAAAAATAACATCTTCCATTGTTTATAACGAGTAGATACAATCTAGCGAAAAAAGTCATTAAAATACTGTACAGAACAGTTTCGTCCTTCTTGGACTTGCTAGTGAGCCTATAGTTTCAAGTCTAGAAGAGAATTGGGAAAATTGGCTGAAGTAAATGTCAAATGTCAGTAATCGGGGAGTGGGTAGGGAGCGGGGCGCGGGAATTACCTGTTAACAGTAGATTTTATGCTTGCAATTTCAAAGATTGAACAATAGACACACAAAAGACTAGTACCTATTAATACAAATTTAAAATTACATTATAACTATATAAAGAAATGAAATGACCGGAAAATGTACCAAAATGTAGACGATAAGTCATCTTTCCTTTGTTCCTATTTTGCCTTCGTAAATCGTTTTATTGTTTGAATTAAGAATTTTTAGATAAGACATTGTTTCTGTTGCTTTTGTAAAAGTTCTCGAATACCACAAGCACACGGAATCAACCTAAATAGTAGGCCTGTCACACGGACTTGAACGACGTAAGTCACAACAAACATGGCTGACAAGCGACACTGCAGGGTACAAACGTGAGTAAACATTCGCTAATATACAATGTACTAAACGGTTTTTTGACTTATATATTACTGCAGTTCTGATCTAAAATAAATTACGCTGTTTATCTTCGTACATCAAACGAGACTTTGTACAAACAGGAAAAACTGTTAAAGAAAAACCTGCATATAAAGTGTTCAAAACCAGTAGTGTCAAAAAGAAATATTAAAAGATTTTAGTTACAATTACACTTTCATCTTTTTTGAACTGTGTTGTTCAGTGAGGTATCCGGAAGCTAGTATGAAGAGAGTTTATCAAAACAGGTCACAAACACCTTGTATAAAATCTTTCAATTTCACTTTCTTTAAATAACAAGATTAATCATGCGTATCATAAATATCCACCAGAATTGCGAATCATGAAAACGACATATTATTTTGTATACACTGCTACCAACAGGGACAACTTTCCACTAAGCTGTATGACAAGCGTGATGATTTCAATTTTCCTTTTGTGTACTTTTCTATTTTTGAATATCAACAACCCTGCTTCCCCAACCTGTGGTGTTTAAATATTGCACTTAATAGAACGGCTTGTTCCCGATGTAACGGTTTTCAGCAACTGACAGAAAAATTCAAGATTAAAAAAAATATGTTTTACGGTCGTCATAGTGATCTTGTTGGGAAATATTTTATTTCTTTGTGCCATATAAAGTTGTTTGCTGGTATGCTTGGTGGTTTAATTGTTTTTTTCCCTTGTTCTCATTCTAAGGGAATGTGACATAGCTCACGTGGATAGACCAAAATTTAGGTGGCGGTTGTCGTCAATGAAGCACCTATATTTATTCTCCTTGGACTTTTTCAGTGGTTTTTTTTTTGTTTATCTTCTGTTCATATTTTACCATAGTTTCTTGAATTTGAGTTTAACGAATAAGATTCTGTTTGCTTGTCGATTTGTTTTGTGTTTTTTATCATTATTATTTATTTAAATTTATTCCAATATTTGTTTATTATTGTAGGATCTTAATATGTAAGTAAATAATCAACCATGATAAACAGATACTTTTAGGATTTAGAATTGGATTATGTTCAACTGCAAATAGTGTATCACAGGGAATGCACAAAAGACTGATCTTCTCTGATAAGTATAACGAATGAAGTTGGTATTTTTGACTTGTCGATTCTCTACCCAGTGTTGTCGTTTTTTACACGCGATAAAATGTGTAAGGAACGACAACTCCAGGTAAAGGTACCCGACAGGTTTATCAATACTGAATAGAGAACCTAGAATCTAGTTCAAGCCATTACTTTCCTCTTGACAACATAGAGAACGGTCTCTGTAGTTAGGTTAGATAGGCTGACGTGTTCTGAGAGCGAAAGAGAAGTAGTTTCTGGAGTTTGTTTGTTTGGTTTGTAAACAAAACCGAACGTTAATGATAAAATATGATTCTTTGTACTATAAAACTACATTATACGACAAAGGGAGTTACCATTAGATATGTTTTTCTTTCTCATACCAATTGATTAATATATCTATAAACTACTAAAGATAATCTAATGCACCGTAAGTGGATTCTGGCGGTGACATCTCAGTTTAAAAGACAAAATTACTTCTTTCTTATGGGTATTTGGTTTTTCTAAGCAAGAAAGATAACTCTCATGAAAGATGATTTGGACTTCATGAATGGCAAACATAAGACTACACGCGACGACAAAAATCACATTAACAAATACAATTTCGACAAAAAGCACGTACGATTTACTTGAGAAACTGTGTAGTTTCTGCGTTTCACTTGCTGCCAAAGACGCAGTTACCTTGCCTGTTCAATCCGGAACTGCTTTAACTATGTAAGGGGACTCATTTTAGTAGAATTACTTGTATGTCCGTGGAATATCCTATGTGTCACACTAAGGGATAGTCCTTTTGTCATTTAATACAAAAATTTAATGACTTACAATATAGACTTTCATAACGATATATGCCTTTTGAGTTTGTCATAACCGGAGTCGATTTCGTGATTACTTTCTACCTCCAGAAATAAACTTAGTAAGCTCTAATTACATTTTGTACTTCCGGTCTTTGGAAAACTACCATATTTAGCGTTTCTAATCGTAATGTTACATTTCAAACATTGTTTCTGTTTTGATATAGTACCTTCTTTACATGATTCATGTGTAATTGAAGCATGTAGCGAAATCTTGAATGACATCTTGAATGGACAAACCGAGGAGGTGATTAATTTAACTGCC